TTCAGAGTCTCTTCTGTCATCCATTTTGGTCTTCTCTTCTTTTGTTGTCTTTTTAGTGACCTCTTGCTTTCTTCACGGATGATGCTGTTGATGTCATCCCACAATTCATCTGGTTTCCGGTCATTGGTGTTTAGTGCATCAAATCTATTCTTTCAATGGTCTCTAAATTTAGGAGGGATATATTCTAGATCACATTTTGGCTTCTCAGTAGTGGCATGGACAGAGGAGGGGGAATTAGTGGGGAACAAGTGTTGTGAAACAAGAAGGAACCTCCCAGGTCCCTCCCATCCAAAGTATCGCAGCCTTGAGGTCTTTGTAAGGACTGTAGGTGCAAAAAGGACCTGTAGGACCTCGGGGCGGGGTGTGGCAGCTGGGCTTAGTGTTCCTTCTACCCTGCACAGGGGTAGTTGGGGACTGGAGGTGGGTATAAGGGATGGTGAGATTTGCAAGTGTGGTTGGCGCTGGTGGTGTCTCATTTGGGTGGTGGCATCCCTGTGGGGGGGGGGCATCCTCCCCTTCATGACAGTAACAGCTTGGCAGGCACTGTCCTCGTGTGCTTGCAGCAGCATTCCCCGCACACAAAGAGGAGATGCTGTAATATCTGTCCTGCGAAGGAGCATCCTGAGCCTCCAAGAGATCAGGGTCCTTTTCCTGTGTCTTACAGCTCCCAAGTGGCAATGCTGGCCCTCAAAGCCAGACCTCTTGGTTCTGAGGCAGCCTCTTCTCCTTGGCCCGGCAGTTCACACCCGCTTGGAAGAAGGTATGGAGCCCCTGGGCCATGCACAGCTCAGGCAAAGGGCAGGGTGGCCCCGTTGCCCCCCGTGGGGCGTTTTCCTTCCGTTTGAGAAGGCTGGGCTCACTCAGTGCTCTGTCTGCTCTCCCCCCCGGGTCCAACCCAGCCTCCTTGCTGCTTACGTAGCCTCTACTCCTGCCTTCGTGTTCTCAGGTCCCAAGGAACCTGCAGTGTGTCTCCTGTGGCTCTGTGATTGGTGTGGGCGGCTCTCCCCCCAGCGCTGGGCAGCACTGAGTGACCACAGCAAAGGGGCAAGCAGCAGGGCAGCAGTTTGCGCTGCTCTCACCTCTCCCCGGCTCTGGCTCTGTCCTCCTGCAAACCCACACGGCCTCGCGGGCACCTTCCCTCCGGACTCCACACGGCCTTCAGCACCCCACCCCTACAGGTGATGACAACGGTTGGTGGTATTTGTCTATTCTATTTGCTTATAATAACAAATGTTGGACCTGCTGTTTAAAAACAAATGCAGAAATGCACGAAGTAGACGGGCAAGTCCTCACGGGAGTTACTACATTCCTGCCCTGTTTGCTCCCATTCTCCCAACAATCTTACGAACCAGGCACCAGCATTGTCCCCCTTCTACAGATGAGTAAGCTGAGTCACAGAGAGTACGTGTTTGGTCCAGCATCATAGGCCAGGAAGTGCATGATCCAGGATTCCATGAGGGAGCCTGGTGCTGCTCTCTTATATTGTCTCAATCGTCTACCACATTTAGCTAAATGTTTCCTCCATGCCCTGAACCACTGCCTCATGTCGCTCCAAGTGTCCACCCTCAGTGGCTCTGCTCTCCAGTTTCCTAGGGTGATTTTCACTGTTTAGATATGCCGACTTAAATCTTACCTCACATTCATTGGGAAATACATAGCTTTCGCTATTTTGGATTAGTCATTCAACAGGCATTTATTGAATGCCTACTATGTGCCGGGCCAAAGTTTAAGGACCTTGGGATAGAGACTTCAATTACAGACCAAAACTAAGTGCCTGGAAGAGACTGCATACCAGTGGGGAATCCACTCCCAGGCCTCAGCCTTTGGCTTCCACTGAGTTCTGATAATCTCTGTTCTGCGATAATCTCTGTTCTGTGGCAACGGCCCTTTCTGACCCACTGTGCCTTCTTTCCTCAGGCCCCCTGCTGGTGACATGTGGCTGCCACGCGTCTCCAGCACTGCGGTGACTGCACTCCTGCTGGCGCAGACGGGCCTCTTGCTCTTCCTGGTCTCCCGGCCGGGTTGGCCTGGGCCACCATCCCCAGCAGATGGCAAGGAGCGTGTGCACGTGCTGGTATTGTCCTCATGGCGCTCGGGCTCATCCTTAGTGGGCCAGCTCTTCAGCCAGCACCCGGACGTCTTCTACCTGATGGAACCCGCGTGGCACGTGTGGACCGCCCTGTCGCAGGGCAGTGCACCGGCGCTGCACATGGCTGTGCGTGACCTGGTGCGCTCCGTCTTCCTGTGCGACATGGCCGTGTTCGATGCCTACCTGCCTTGGCGCCGGAATCTGTCAGACCTCTTCCAGTGGGCAGTGAGCCGAGCGCTGTGCTCGCCGCCGGCCTGCAGCGCCTTCCCTCGTGGCGCCATCAGCAGCGAGTTCGTGTGCAAGCCCCTGTGTGCGCGGCGGCCCTTCGCCCTGGTGGAGGAGGCCTGCCGCTCCTACAGCCACGTGGTCCTCAAGGAGGTGCGCTTCTTCAACCTGCAGGTGCTCTACCCGCTGCTCACTGACCCCGCGCTCAACCTGCGCATCGTGCACCTGGTGCGGGACCCGCGGGCAGTGCTGCGCTCCCGAGAGCAGACGGCCAAGGCGCTGGCGCGCGACAATGGCATCGTGCTGGGCACCAACGGCACGTGGGTGGAGGCCGACCCGGGCCTGCGCGTAGTGCGCGAGGTGTGCCGTAGCCACGTGCGCATCGCCGAGGCGGCCATGGACAAGCCGCTGCCCTTCCTGCGAGGCCGCTACCGCTTGGTGCGTTTCGAGGACCTGGCGCGGGCGCCGCTGCCGGAGATCCGTGCGCTCTACGCCTTTGCTGGGCTGCGCCTCACGCCGCCGCTCGAGGCCTGGATCCACAACATCACGCACGGGGCCGGGCCTAGCGTGCGCCGCGAGGCCTTCAAGACCACCTCGAGGGATGCGCTCAATGTCTCCCAGGCCTGGCGCCACGCTCTGCCCTTCGCCAAGATCCGGCGCGTGCAGGAGCTGTGTGCCGGGGCGCTGCAGCTGCTGGGCTACCGGCCAGTGTTCTCCGAGGATGAGCAGCGCGACCTCTCCCTCGACCTGGTACTGCCTCGTGGCCCGAGCAGCTTCAGCTGGGCATCATCCACCGCCACGCACCCAGGGCCTTAGCGGGATGACCAGCAGGTCCCGGAGGCGTGTGTGTGTGTGTGTGTGTGTGTGGTTGGAGCCCAGTCTCTCAGTGAGGGGAGAGGCCCGAGTGAGGGAGTCTGCTTGTGCAGCGGGAAAGGATAGAGGCCTCCACTCCTTGTCGCGGTGCCCACTTACCAGCTTTCCTCTGAGACATCTTTAGGAGCTAGGTTCCCTCTGGGTGCTCCCTTCACGAAAGCTAAACTCTTGCCTGCGTGTCCTCTGGCACAGGGAGTTAGCCCAGATGCCTTGGCTCACTCTTAAGCGCTTAACTCTCTCCTCCACTGGGAGCTTCATCCAGCACCTGAGAAGTGTGGCGCACCCTGTCTGGGGGTGGAGGGGGTTGTGGTATCTGGCCTCTGAAGCCTGTTCTCTCCCTGCGACACAGCATCCGGCCGCATCCCCTGGGGCCCCGGTGCACCTCCATCAACTCGGTTGGTTTGTATTCACCTGGATCTTCGGTGAGAAATCAGACATGATGCCCCTTGTCCCGTGGGCTCCGTTGAGTGTCTCTGTGCCACCGCTCAGGAGCCCAGCTCTGGTGAGCCTTTGATTTCTCCTGACAGGAAGGAGCACACATACATAAATACAATCATTAACCTGCCTGACACACACTATAATTTACAGCCTGTAACATTGCACAAGCAAAACTCGGAACTGACGGGACTTGTCCAAGGTCTCACGGTGAGAAGGCTGAAGGGTTTTGCTCTAAGGCTGCAGTGGGAAGAAAAGGGTGATTCCTACATGCACAGACCTGCCTCCTAGACAAAGAAGGGTCCGATTTTCCCCGTTATTTGCTCAAATCCATTTGCTGTGGAGTGGTTGGCGCAAAAAGTTAATATCCTTTGCTGTTCATCAAAAGGTTGGAGGTTCAAGTCTGCCTAGAGGCATCTTGGTAACCCACTTCGAAAAATCAGCCCTTGACGTTTATTTACCTTCAAAAGCACAAATGTGTACAGCTTTACGTTATTGTACCTGGCAGAAGAGAAGTATATTTTTAAACTAAAACTGAGACCTCTTACAAAAATTAAGGCTCTCTTTTGTAAAATTTATAAAAGTTAATTGGATACAATCAGCAAAACACTGAATTAACAACATTTTGTAAGTAATAAAACTGTACTTTGGTCCATCTCCCAAGAATTGAGATTTTCTCCATTCAATTGTAATTTAGTATGTAGCTTGAACTCTCAAACTTGAAGTCATCATCCTTGATTAAGTGCTACCACTGTAACAATACTAAACCTAAAATTTTAAAATAAACTTTTTTTTTTCCCTTGGTAAATAAACTACAGCTTCATCAGGAAAAATAAAAGCAGCCATTGCAAGCCCTATGGAGCACAGCTCTACTCTGACATCCTGGGGTCACCTGAGTCAGAATCAGCTCCACACCAACTGGTTACCGGTTTATTTGCTCAAGCAAAGGTATGCAGCCAATGCCAGGATCACAGCTGGAAGCTACAGTGTGGTGAGCTCTGGGCCCAGAGCACAAAATCTGGACAGGATCCTAGATCAGCCTACAGGGAGGCAGGGAGGAAGTAGAATGGAGGAGAGGGCTGGCTGGTCTCTTGCCTGTGGCCTGGGGAGGCTGGGGCAGCAAGCCAGGCCTAGCATGTGGTAGAGGAGGTTGGCATCAGGATCAGTGCCTGGAGGGCAGGTGAGGCAGGTCACTGGGTTAGCTAACTATATCTGGTTTGCCAGGAGCTTGGAAGAAAAAGACTCTGGGATCATTCTACTTCCCTTCATCATTTGGGGCCAGGCCCTGAAAAAGAGGACAAGGTCCCTACCTGCAAGCCATACCACTTAGGTCTGGCAGCAGCGGGCTTATCGAAGAGCTGTTGGATGTGTAGTCATGGTTGTTAGGTGCTGTCAAGTTGGTTCCTACTCATAGCAATCCTGTGTACAACACAGTGAAACACAGCCTTGTCCTCTGCCATCCTCACAATCCTCGCCAAGTTGAACAAGCTCATTGTCACAGCCACCATATTGCTCCGTGTCATTGAGGGTCTTCGCCTTTTTCACTGACCTTCTACTACTTTACCAAGCTTGATATCTTCTCCAGGGACTGGTCCCTTCTGACATGACCAAAATACCAAAAGGAGCTGTGGTGGCACAGTGCTTAAAGCATTTGGCTGCTAATCAAAAGGTCATACTTTCAAACCTACCAGCCACTCCAGAAAGATGACGCAGTCTGCTTCTGTAAAGATTTACACCCTTGGGGACCCTATGGGGCAGTTCTACTCTGTCTTATAGGGCTGTTGTAAGTTGAAATCGATTCACTGGCAGTAGGTTGGATATGTAGAGAAGACTTAGCCTCGAGCTCAGGAAACGAGAGCCAGTAAGTGCTCAGTAAATTATTTTCTTAAAAAAGAAAAAAAAAAAAAGCCTCCGGGTGGATAGGGAAGCAGATTTGGGTTCACACAGATAGAAACAACACCCCCCATCACACCAGGACACACAGCTGGGTCTGAGAATTGTGAGTTGCCACCAGAATTATGTTCCTGTCACCTCTGGAAACAAGAAGCTGCCCCCACTGTTGGCAGAAATGCTTTTGTGGTCACTGGTCTGATTCTCAGCCAGGGTGTGGCCTTGGATTGGTGGAAACTGGATAGTGGCTCCACATCCTGGCTGCAAGATAGGCAGGGAAGGGGGATCTGGTGTTTTTGGCTAGTGGCATAGTGCCTAAGGCATCTGACTGCTAACCAAAAGACTGGCTGTTCAAACCCACCAGCCACGCCTCGGAAGGAAGACCTCGGAAGGAAGACCGGGCAATCTACTTCCATAGAAATGGAAAACCAAAGGAGGGGTCACTATGAGTCGGAATCTACTCGACAGGAGTGAGTTTGGTTTGGGTTTTGGTTTAGTTGGAGGGAAAAGAGGGATATTGACCTTATTGTTCTTACATCATCGTGAGCCGGGGTGTCTTGTTGCACAGCGATATAGCTGAAGGTAGAAACCTCCTGGCAGCCTGTAGCTTCCACCTTTCACCAGAAGCTAGTCTGTGCCTACCTGCTGTTAGGACTGGAATTAGTCCCTCCCCTTGTCTGTGTGCCCTGAGCTGCAGCAAGGAAGTGCCTAGGTCCAGCAATCACCCCTAGTCCTCTGGTGTGGGTAGAGGAGGGGCAGGCAAAGCATGGGAGGGGCTCACAGATTAAATGTTGCCTAAAATAGGAGATAGAGCCCACCAGTTATTCAAGAAGCTGTTAGGACATCAATGGTGTGTCAACATTTTTTGATATTTTACAGTCAATAAAATAGCTTCTCTGTCAGCACTGTGTCAGCTGTCAGGGCAGGCTATCACAGACTCTGTGTTGCCTTAGGCCCCGAATGCGCCACCTTCAGGCTTGGCCTCCAAAGGCCTGTTCTACCCTTCTTGATGTGCTAGCTTCTAACTCACTGTTGTCTCACTGGAATATATGCAAGCCACATACATAATTTTAAATTATCTAGTTGTTGTTGTTGTTATGTGCCGTCAAGTCCAACCCGACTCATAGCGACCCCTCCTTGGGTTTCTGAGGCAGTATCACTATGGAAGTAGATTGCCCAACCTTCCGAGGAGTGGCTGGTGGGTTTGAACCTCCAGCCTTCTGGTTAGCAGTCAAATGCCTTAGGCACTATGCTACCAGAGCTCCCAAATTATCTAGTACCTGTATTAAAAAAAATAATAATAATTTTAACAGTATATTCTACTTCTCAATAAATGCAAAACATAATTTTAGTATGTAATCAATATAAAACTATTATATTGCTCTTACTCCCTTTCTTGGGACCCCTGCCTTGGCCCCAGTTGGTCTAGCAGTTCTTAGTCTTACAATCCTGGGATAATCCCACCATTTCTGATGTCCTACATCTTTCTTTTCTTTGGTCACCACTGTTTAATTTTGCTGGAGTACATACTCTGCTTTCAAAGCAGGGGTACATGCAACATACATTTTCTCAGTCCTATAAACTGAAATTTTTTTTTTTTTTAACCTCTTAATTCATCATTTGACTCGGTATAGGACTAAATTCAGAATGTTTCCTAATGTGATACACAATTGAATGTTATTTAAATAAATTGGTTTCTTCAACTTCTACTAGACTTTCCTAGTCTGGGAAATACACCACAAGACGCCGGTGTTAAGTATTTCATGACCTATCTTATACTCAGTAATCTTATTTCAGGTAAGCTTCTTGGTGGATATAAAATCCCATTCCTAGCAGCAGAGAAGTGACAGTGGAAAACTTACAAAACAAAAGCTTCAGAAAGGAAACGCCAATAAACGATATTGCTAATGTTCTTTCATTAGAAGGAAAACATGTATTCAATACACAGTGTTTCTTAATTAAAAATAAGTGAAACTTAAAAAAAAATTTAAATGGAAAATAAATAAGCAAAACTTAAAAAAAAAAAAAAAACCAATGTCCACGTAAACAGTCCAGGTATTGCCTTGTCTTCTGGTTGCCACCTCCTGGCTGGTGCCAGGCTGAGTCTCAGCTCTTTGTAGGTGAGCTGTCGTTTCTCTCTGGAAGTTGAAGGCCTTTCTTTGTTTGTGGGGAGAGTTGAGCAACCCCATTTATCTCCAAGGACTGTGCTGGGTAGAGTATAATTACAGGAAACCAGTCACTGCCACACACCCAGAAAGTCCTTTCAGAATCTGAAGACCTGACAAGAAGTTCAGATCCACTGGAGGTAACTATCAATCACAGAACTGTTTTTAACTTTAACAACACAGCACAAAGTTTCCACTTCAATAATCTACTACATCTCTTGGCTATCTTTCTAAAGTCCTGTGTTCTTTTTTCACCTAAACCAAAGCACAAAACTGTTTTAAAAACTGTGTTTAAGAGAATAAAGCCAACATGACTGACAGTTATGGTTGTTAATGTTTAAAAAGTCATTCCAGGCCCTCCGATGAAGCTAAACCAAAATTTTGTTAATAGGCTATTGGTCATTTTTTAAAAACCATTTTTTTTTAATGGGCTGTTTGTGCACAGAAAGACAT